GTTGACCTAACGTCTCCCAATCTCTGTCAAAACGAATCATGGAAGCTGAATTCCCCATGGTTGTGACTCCCCTATCACTATCAGCTATGCTGGAAGTGGCTCAAGATCAACCCCAATAGAGTCACATGAAGGTACCAGATCCACGATATGACCAGTAGATAGAATGATACACAGCCCAAGAAAATCAACAAACTCAGTCAACCAACCCCAAAAATGTCCTTGCAACCCCTAGTCTCTACCACAGCTGATCAAGAGCCTTAGGTTGCGTTTGGTAGAGTTTTGTAAATATGATTTGAGAGTAGGAGTTGTATTTTGAGTTTGTGAGTTTTGGAATTATAATTTGTGTGTTGAAAATTTGTTTGGTAAGAATTGAGTGGAAAATTTTTGATGTGACATATGATATTTGATACAAAAACTTACAACTCATAACCAAATATACAACTCAAAATTCTATTAAAGCACATAAAAATTTTTTAAAAATTCGAAAAATATTTTTTCGAGTATATAAAAATTAACATATCAATTGCAAAATAAATAAATAAATAAATGCACTGTTCCGGTCAACCGGCCAGACGATCTGTGGGACGTCTAGTTAGGCCAAATTTCAAAAAAAAAAATTTTGAAAATCGTGCCTCAGACAGAGTTTTTTGCAGAGTTGTGGAAAATTAGTTCCACATACCTATCCAAACATCATATTCAAATGTGGGAGAAGAATCAACGTTTGGAAATCGTTCTAAACAGAGCCTTAATTTCCCATAGTGAACCCCTTAATCACTTTCAAGCAATGTAGGAAGTGGACTAAGAACAACACCATAACGAGTCACATAAAGCTGCATGGTCAATTTCTAGAATCTAATCAACTGAGTTGAAATAGTAAACAAGCCTATGGCACTAAAAGAAAACACCACCTCATAGTTACAAAAACATCTATAAGCACAAGTGCAGCCAAACATACCCTTGCAACTGTCCATGCAACCCTCAGTCCCTACCACGACTTATCAAGAGTTCCAAAATCAACCATTAACTCATTTTAACCCAATATTTTACCCCTAATGAGCCTAATCTATCATTTTACCCTTAAATAATCCAATATGTTAACATAAGGTATGAAAATATCGCATTAAATCATTAAACTAGTAAAATAAGTAGTGAAAATAACTTGAAAAATACTTAAAAAATACCAAATCAACCCTAAATCTTTTAAATTAAGTTATATTTAATGGCAAGCAATCGAACTACACAAGTTACATGTGCACATGGCACAAGTTACACTTACACCAAACAAGTTTCGTAACAATATAGTAGGTACCCACCCAAAAAATAATATAGTAGGTGATTTTGGGTTGTGATAGGAAAGGCAATGAGTGAAGGGTTTGCAATAGCTATAGTGGCTAGGTTTTGGGTGAAGGGGGTTGTTGTGAGGATAGAAGGGACTAGGAATGGCAGATGTCTTATTGCAAATCTCTTCTTAACCGTAACTAGCACATCTAACTATTGCATGTATGTCAAGAGGCAAATTGTGTTATTGACATGTCGGCCAAAATTGCTCTATTTGTGTCATGACTCGAACCCAGCCCTATGGATTAAGGTCATAACCGACCAGTAATCATGAGATTACCTACTGCCTCAATCAATATCAGACATATAATAGAGGCCAAATAGAAGCAAACTTAAAAATTTTGTCCAACGAGCTGTGCTTACATGGTGAAGTAAAACATTCTAGAAATGGTCTATAATAACTCACACATGAAGTCAAAAGTTAACATCTTATATGTCCAGGAATCTTCAAACATGCAGTTAGCTAAACAAAAGCTTATGTATATGGTGATCCAACATATTCACCAAGATAACAAAAGGGAATCAAAAACAAAAGAAACAAAACAAAGTCTCATGCGTGAGACGTTCAGGCTGACTCCACAAAAACTTGACTCCTCTCATGTCTTTCACTGGGGCTGGGTTTGGACATCTCTTTGCTCACCTACACACACATAAATGAGAGTGAGAGATAGCCCAATGAATAATATCAAAATAAAGGAGTATATGAATGAAATTTGTAGCAGTCATATCAAACGGCCTTAGGCCCATTCATGATTCTATCTAGTACATCAAATGGCCTCAGGCCCAATTCGTTCTTATCAAACGGCCTCGGGCCCAATTTGTTCGTGTCAAATGGCCCTTAGCTCATTCATTCATGTCAAACGGTTCCTGGCCTAATTATTCATGTCAAACGGCCTTTGGCTCAATCATTCATGTCAAACGACCTTTGGCCTAATTCATTTTCATATTTGTATTTATGTGTGTCACATATCCGTGATCATGATCATATTCACATTCAATTAGTCTTATGTAAAAAACTGATTAATCCATAATTCAAAATACAAATCCATAAGGCTCATACAGAAGTAACTTTGGAAAATAACGTACTTGAACATATCTTTATTAAGATATTACTCACATCGTTCTGCCGAAAGATTTGCCCTTGTGCTTGACCCTACATTACATAACATATTGGGTCATAAACAATTCAATTCGTCCTCAAATCGTTTATTTCTCTTAGGCCTCTTTCTTATCCCTTTAACTCATTTACAACGTTCAATGCATGCCTAAGAGTGCTTAGAAGTGAAAGAGAATGGAAAATAGAACATAAATCAACTTTTCAAATTTTCTGAAATAGGGATCTCCGCTCGAGTGCAGCATTGGTCGCTCGAGCGGACCCTTTTGGTTTGCAAAAGTTCTGGTTGTTTGTAATTTACGCTCGAGTGAGACTTTTGACGCTCAAGCGAGGAGTCATATAAGGTAGGGCACGCTCAAGTACAGATTCGGCCGCTCAAGCCACCGTGTTATTTCTACAAAACTTCTAGGAGCTACAGTTTCAGGCTTGAGCGAGGTTTTTCTTACTCGAGCGGACAGGTCGAATTCTGGGTTTTCCAAATTTCTGTTTGAAGCTCAAACTTGATGTTCAAAGGTCCAACGCTCGTGTTTTTGGTACAAAAACATGGGAACACATTACATAACATGAGAACATAAGCAATATGAGACCAATTGTTCAAAATCATGGTCCATTTCCAAAATCATTCCTAATCCCCTTCATCAATTTCAAAACTCACGTATTCAACCTCATACAAACTTTATATCTTTATCAATCATGCATGCATGTTAATTTTTGACTTTAATTCTATTTCAAATGGCACAAATGATGCTTATAATCATGAAGCTCATGAAAATTATGTATGCATGTATGACTTGATGATATATTCTTCATGTTTCAACAATCATCTACTAAATACAACACATGAGTCTTTAGAATTAAGCTTCACACCATGACAATTCATACATGCATGTGTAATTTGACTTCAAATTTATCATGTATAGCTTAATTCTTGTTCTTTATCAATAATTCTCTTTTGAATTCATATAATCACAATTCAAACTCATGAATCAAGAGTTGGGTACCTACTTAGAGGCTCCAATCCCCCAAAATTTAGTCAATTCCTTGAGTCTAGCTTCCAATTTCCAAGCCTTGAACTAAAATTCACAATTTGAGCCTTCTTCTCTCTCTAGAACCAGCCCTCTCTCTCTAGAATGTGATTTCAGCCAAGTTGTAAGGAATGAGTTCAAAAAGTGAACATAAGTGTAAATAAGTCACCTATATATATATATAATCAACTTGTATTAAGGCTAATTAATTGAGCTTAAATTAATCAATTTAATCTAATTATTTCGATCCAAATCAATTTTTAATTAAATTTCACCGTAGACTCTAAAAATCATGCCAAGTACAAAAATATAGTCAATTTCGCTTTCTGAAGCCTCTACGACCTTCAATTTAAATTCTATAGTAGAAAATCAAACAGATTTTTCCTACGGTGAACAAATAGGAATTCAAACACACACATAATCATATGAGTAGCACTCAAAATCATATTAAGTACATAACCACAATCATAATTAAGATTAATTAACATAACAGGGACAAGGTTATCACAATTTGTAATGTAGAGAACTGTGTTAGAGCATCTTCAATGCAACTACCATTTAAGCTGCTTTGCTTTAATATGGCAGCTTGGTTAAAAAACAGAGCTCTATTTCAGTGCCCTTCAAGCTGTCAAATTTTGGCATTGTTTTACTTTGTGCCAACATTTTCCTTGAAAAAAAAACAAAACAAAATATTTATTACACACAAATATATACATATATTGACATATACACAAAGAAACATACATATGAAGATATGTAAACACATGTATATATATTCATACTTGCAAATTTGAGAGACATAAAGAGTGGAGAAAAAAATGAGAAAGAAGACTCACAATCACCAACGAAACACTAGACCACCATCATCGAGGATCACCACCACTGACCACCGCTTGACCATTGCACTGTCGACTATTGACCATTGTCAAACTACACTGATTTCTCAGATCTTCAGGGATTGGAAGGGGATCTTGTGTGGCAACAGGATGGTAGATTTGGGGGTGGTGTGTAAACTCATAACTACAATTTTGTTTAGGTTGCTGGTGTGATAATAGACGGGATGACTATGTGATAAGAGTTCTAGATCCTTTTTCTTGCACGTAATAGTGCAATAGCGCATTTTGAAATTTTTTATAAAGCAAAGCTCCTAGTTGGTGAAACAAGTCTTCTTTTTAATTTCCAATCAGTCCAATTTTAACACACGAATTAAAAAAATTGTTGGAGGTTAGAAGAACAGTGGTTAAAATGGGGAAAAAAAAAAAAAAAGAGGGTAGAAAAAGGTGATTGTGTCAAAATGAAAAAAAAAAAAAGGTAGAAAGAGGCGATTGTGTCAAAATATAGCACTTGTAGCATTGGAGCAAGTTTGCGATAAGAGTTCTAAATTTGACATTTTTGCATTACCAAATTGAAATTGAACTAATTTTCATCTCATGTTTATATATGTAACAGTTGGTGTGTGTTGTCCAGAGAGCTGTATGTACTTATGTCCCACATTGGCTTTTCAATAACTCTCTTTTGAAGGCTTTTTTTACATGGGAACTCTAAGTTGATGTGATTCAATCATCTTTAGACTTTCATAGACAGTTCAAAACCTCTTTGGTGAGTACACAGCATTATACGCCTCAGCAGCATCTTTTTCAAATATTTTATTTTTATTAACAAGTTGTAGAGGAAAAAAGAAAAAAAAGGGTTCTAAGAAGTGCATAAAAGTGAGTAATCTCAACTACAATTTCTTCACTTCAATCAGAGGCAATAACAGTAACAGTAACAACATCAGTCAATCCCCTTCCCTTCGTTTCAAGTGGGAGAAGCATAACAGACAATCCTGAAACAACCATTACAGCCTCAAATAGAAGAATCGCAGCCGTTTGATGACAACCAGACACCAATCCAACAGCTACAAGAGGGCATATCATGCCACCAATTCTTCCCACAGCACTTGCTACTCCATACCCAGTTGCTCTTATAGAGGTTGGATATATCTACAGAGAAACAAATCAAACAAGTAAACAAAACAACATGAATTCTCGTAGCTATATAAATTTTTCTCCCGCCATAAAATCTAAACAAACTCCAAACAAATTTCTAAAAAGATTATCATGTTCTTGTCATGTGATAAAGATAGCATGTTTAGTTGTTGCATGTTCAGACTTCCCTCATGAAAAATAGAAAATTATATCATCATCATCACCCAAGTTACTCTATGATTAAAATGGGAAACTACTGTAAAACAGTGGTCTGATCTTCGGGAGTAAGCAACTCCAACACTACTCTCTATTTTGGCTCTTTAAATGTACAACAAAACTCTTTACCTTACCACATTAGCCAGCATGTACTCCAACAATACTCTCTATTTTAAGAAGTGTCATAGACTCTTCAAATGTGTAGCTTGGATGGGACGAGCCTGTTGGAAGGCCACAATTGAATCGAAACTAGCTAAATTGCCAAACTTGAGCTGTTTAAAGAGCCTGTTGGAGATGTACAAATTTAACCTCCAGTTTATTTGCACAAAGTGGCAGCACAAGCAGCCACCAATTCAAATACTAGTACATGAACCCAGAAACTAAACCAAACCAAACTGAGCTAAGCCTTGTGTTCCAGTCAAGTGGCTAACATGGCAAAAGAAAACAGAAAAAAAGAAACTAAAATGGCAACATTAACTTTTAAATAGAACCTATACAAGCAATAAATATAGAATTAATTTGCATGCCATGAAGTATAAAAATAATAGGCTTCAAATGAAAGTTTCCACTCCAAATGAAAATCAAACATTCAGATACACATGGAAGAAAGTATGTGCTCTTTTTGTACAGTAAAATTCCCTTCACTAATAATGCAAACAAAGAAGGCAGCAGAATTCATGATCCAAAAATATTTTATTGCCCAATAATTCCATGATAAATGGACCTCTCTTTTACTATCTAGGTACCTCTTCAGCTTGATTTCATTAAGTATCTTGCTTTAAACAAAATTTAATTAACAATTGGCCCCTTAAAAATAAATGAAGGAAAGAAAGGAAAGAGGAACAAAACAAGGGGATACCTCTAGGGTACAAACATTGACAACTATAAAGATCCAATAAAGAGTACAGATCAAACACTTACCTCTGGGGCATAAATATTGGCAACTGTAATGGTTCCCATGAGGCACATTCGTGCCCCGAATAATAAACCTGTGGTTAAAACCTCCTTCTGATGAAAAGCCAGTGGTAGAAGGAAAATGCAACCTAACATGAACATAATTGCCATGGAAAGCTTGCGACCAATTCTGTCGACAATAATTGCAGATAAAACAAGTCCGGGGAGCTCTGGAACAAATTACAAAGTAGCGTTAAAGAGTATTTGAGCAAAACAAAAAAAATGGAAAAGAGAACACCATTGACAATACAGTATGAAATAAATAATTAAATTTAGTTCATTTAGATGGACAAATCTAGATATGCATCACCTGCCAAACTAGTGATAAATACATCCACGTAGAGACTAGCATCTTGAAAATTTTCTGAATGCAAAGAAATTGACTGACATTTACTTTGCTCACTGCTCAGCTCAGAGGTCAGCAATATAATGCCATAATAGGAAAATGCATTTCCAAAGAACAGCAGCCACAGGCTAAGTGTGGTTCTAATTAATTGTGATGACAAGAGCGTAAGTACTGAAGAAAAGCCTGCTATTAAAACCTTGGTTTTATTTTCTTTTGAGCAGAGTAAATGGGTATCTTCTGATGGAGCAAATTCTTCGTCCAGTTCAATACTTTGGTCAGACACAAGCGTGCCAGAAGGGAGACTTTTCTGGTTGAGTCTTGCTATTTTCTCCAAGATTTCGTGTGCATCAGTTGTTCTACCTTTCATACATAGATACCTGGGAGACTCTAGTGTAGGAAAGTAAAAGAGAAGTGCCATAAAAGATGGTACAGATGATAGCGCAAGTAGCCACCTCCAATTTAATCTTGGCATGATAATCTGCAGTAAAACAACAGAATAATGATGTCAAAATAGTCCACATCTTTCTTATATTGCCCTTTTTTAAAGACTTAAAATAAAATTTTCCAAAAAACGGATGATACACTTAAAAATATCACATAAAGGTGATCAAAGGTTCAACTTAGGGCCGACCCTAAGGCAAGGCGAGTATGACCGCTGTCTCAGGCCCCCAAATTCTATCTAAAAAATAGGGCCTCCAAATAACTTTTTATCTTAAAGTTATGTTTGGTTCGTTGAAATTAAGTGGAATGAAATAAGTATTCCATCATAATATCCATTCTCACGTTTGGTTTACTGAAAAATAATAAAAAAAATTTACAATTGAAATCATCAGTCACCATTGTGAGGGAATGGTTATTCTATAAAGTGGCTAAGAAATTATCATTCCATTCAATTTCATTTCATTTTAGTGAGCTAAACACTACATTACAGTATTAGTAGTTTAAAAACGAAGTTTTACAACAAAATAAAAATAAAAAAAATTAAACAATTGAATTGGTGAATTATTTAAAAGTGATAGATAGTTGTTTGCCAAATGCATGAATTATTTATAGAATATTGTTTAATTATGTCAATTACAATTGTCACAAGGAAAAAATATATGTATATTTTAAAGTTGAATTTTATCAAATTTTACCATTTAATCTATTACGTTAGGAAAAAGTGTGAGTAAACTAATAATGTTAACAATCGAGAATATTCAAAATTTATCTCAATATTAAAATATGTATGAGGGTTGGATCCTATTTTTCAAGTTCACCTTGGGCCCCAAAAAAGTTAGGGCTGACCCTAAATGCAATCAACACTACGATTTTCTTCTCTATAGATATGTTGTATAGGAGTGGAGCACTATATTATCGAATGCTGATATCACGTATCATTGATAGTGATATCACCAATCGGTGATAGTATATATCGGATTATTTGGTGCAGTTTATCTAAGTTACTTTTCTTCTTTTTTTTTACGCAATTTCTGCTTACAACTTATTAGGTAAAAATGGTTTAAATAAATTGGAAAAAAAAATGATTATCTGAAAGGTAAGAGAAAGGTTGTGGGAGTTAGGAGTCTAGATGACACCTTAGGCCACATTTCCAAAGTGAGGGCAGCGCTTAGGCATGCCAAACAACTCGCTGTATGCTGCATGACTGTAGGTGCCTGTGACTTGGTGGTTACAGACCAAGGGTTGACAAGGTACTTCATCCCTCACGGTCTGAGAGAGAGAGAGAGAGAGAGAGAGAGAGAGGCTTCTCCTTACTTGGGTATCTCCTAGAACTTTCTAGAAACTTGGTTCTTTTGCCTAGGTTTCCTACCGAAAGGGAGAACATGATGTTCTAACAGTCCAGCTGCTTTCCTTAATAGAGATCTAGGTTTCCAGATATGCAGTTATATGCTTGTGCTCCCCTTCTATAAATAGAAGGATGCATTTCTCCATCACTTTTGGGACTTTTTGAACTCAAAACAGTGCAATGAGACTCCCTTGCTGGGCTATTTTGTTTGTCACCCACTCACCACTAGTCTCCGGTACTTCTTGTGTGTAATGTTTGTGAGAATATATTCGTATATATTAGGCATTGTATATATTAGGCATGTTTGTGATGACTGTATTTCCTTTTTTGGTCCCATTATTGTATTTCCTTTTTGGTTAGTCGTTAGGGTTATATAAACTAGTCTTGATGTAATTGATACACAATTGGAATATACAGAAATTCTTCAGAAACTTACATGGTATCAGAGCCGTTCTCTGATCCGAAACCCTAGAGCTGTCTCCATTGCTCTCTTGTTTGTGTTTGTGCTTGCTTCTCCCAGGCTCATTTTGGTTCGACTTTGGTGTGTGATTATGCCTCGTCTCAATCGACCTATCTAGTCGTCGACTCATCTGCTCATTTTGGTTCGTGACCCATCTGCTCGTGATTGTGCCTTATCTCAGTCAACCCATCTGGATTTCCTCTCTGTTCGTGCTATTTGGTAGTCACACCCATCCAGCGGTTCGACCCATCTAGTCGTCGCCTCCTCACAACTCGTCTTCTCTCTCTGGCTCTCCTTCGTGGTCAACCCATCTGCTTTCTAGCTCGTGAACATCAGCATTGCGACCCTTCCTTTTTGCCTCTGGTTCGCGATTATGTTCGCACTCATACGTCTTTGACGTTGACATCAGATTTTGGTACTCCTTTAGATTCTCTCTGGTTCTCAATTTGTTTGTTCGTCTCAGACTCTGGTTTGTCTCCTTCAGACTGTCTCTAGTCCTCGATTTATTCTGTGATACAGTACTACTGTTCTCAGACTTGGCTTGGGTATTATACTAACACCCTAGGTTCAGGCTTATTACACTACAACCCTCAAGGTTTTCTATTTATTATAATTTAGTCCATTAGCTCTTTTATTTATTTGATTCCTTGCAATGTCGGATGATAAGATTGCTAGGTTCGAAAATAGATCACTAGCTTCAGATGAATGTGCCTATTGCCATAAAAAAGGCCATTGGAAGTATTACTGTCCCAAGAAGGGATGTTTGTCTCTGAGTAATTTTCAAGCTTCCGCCAATTTTACTGCATCTGCTCCAGCTCCTGATCCTGACTTGACTTCCTTGAGTGCTCAGATTAGTCAGCTTCAGCATACAATATCTACCTCCTAGCCATCCCCGTCTGCCTCCATTGTTTCCTCTCTTCATTCAGGTTTGCTTGGGTCTTCTTTAGGTATCTCTTTGTCTGTTTGGATTTTTGATTCTGGTGTCTCTCATCATATGACTCCTCATCTCTCTTTATTTCAGAATTGTACTCTCCCTCCCTTTCCTATTACTGTTAATGCTGCTAGTGGGTCTGGTATGTCAGTTATATCTATAGGGTCTGCCCTACCATCTGCTATGTCTGCAGTCTCTATTTCCCGTCTTATATGTTCTTCAGTTATCTGTCAGTTCATCATCTATTAGGCAACTTGATGCCTCTGGTTTTGATATTATCTTTTCTTCTTCTCTCTGTTCTGTGCAGGATCGGATGTCCAAGTAGCAGATTGGGACTGGTTGTAGAGTTAGAGATCTCTATGTGGTGGAGAGTTTGCATTTGTTTATGACTACATCTCCGACTGCCTTTTCTTCTTTTCAAATTAGATTCTTTGTTCAGTCCTTTCTATTTGTGGCATTCCAGATTAAGGCATTTGTCTGCTGACCGCTTACGGTCTTTAGCTCAATCAGGTATATTGGGTAAAGTTTCTCCTAATCAACTTACTGAGTGTCGGGGGTGTAAACTTGTCAAAATGACAGCCTTACCTTTCCGTAACAGTACTTCTATATCTGCTATACCGTTTTCTTTAGTTCATACTGATGTCTAGGGCCTTTCTCCTGTTCTCACCAAGGGAGGTTCTGCATACAATGTGTCATTTGCTGATGATTACACCCGTTACACTTGGGTTTATCTTATGACTCATAAGTTCAATTTTTATTAGATATACCGTATCTTTTAGTCTATGATTACTACTCAGTTTGGGTTTACCATTAAAGTGTTATTTTTTAAAAATGAGTTTTTCGAGTATTTGGTCAATTTGGATACCATTCACCAAACTTCCTGTACAGATACACCTGCCCAAAATGGTCGAGCCGAGCGTAAACACCGTTATCTCCTTGAGACAGCTAGGTATCTTCTTCTCTCTGCCTCAGTTCCGGCTCCATTCTAGGGAGAGGCAGTTCTTACTGCTGCTTTTCTTCTCAATCGCATGCCTACTCTCCTTCTTTCTGGTCGGTCTCCTTATAAGACTTTGTTCTCCCAAATTGCTAACTACTCCATTCTTTGTCTGTTTGGGTCCTCCTTCCCCGCAAGGATCGGACCAAACTTAGTGCCCGGTCTGTCTTGTGTGCCTTTTTGGGCTACAATCTTACTCAGAAAGGCTACCGCTGTTATGACCCTGTCTCTCGTCGCCTCTATGTCTCCCATCATGTTGCCTTTCTCAAACGTCTGTCTTACTTTCAGCTTCCCCCTCTCACTGCTCCCATTTCCAAAGAGAATTTGGTTCACATTGACCCATTTCCTTCTGAGGTCCCATCAGATGAGTATATCGCCACTGTTCCTCCTGAGGTCATTCTTACTTCTCCGTTTAAGTCACCTATGGCTCCTTCTTCTCCTTTGATTGCTTCTTCCCCTCCGTTGTTGGTCTATTCTCGTCGCAAGGCTCCCCCACCACCAGTTGTCTCTACTCCTGTTGTTGCTCCTTCTGCTTCTGACGACTCTGATCCTGCTGCACACCACTATCCTCCTTGTGAGCGTCGTCCTCCAAACAGGTTGGGTTGGTCTAATACATGTTTTTCTGCTTCCTATCGTACTTTTTTGTCTGTTATTCACTCTTTTTCAGAACCTCAGTCTTACAAGGAAGCTTGTCAGGATCCTCATTGGGTTTAAGCTATGGAGTATGAGTTATCTACTTTACAGAAAACTCGTACTTGAGAGTTGGTTCCTTTGCCTGCTGGTAAGAATCTGGTTGGTTGCAAATGGGTTTACAAAGTCAAGACTCATTCTGATGGTTCTCTTGAGCGCTACAAATCTCGTCTGGTTGCCAAAGGTTTCTCACAGGAGTATGGTATTGATTATGAGGAGACATTCGCTCCTGTTGTCAAGATGACTACTGTCCGTACTTTGATCCCAATCGCTGCTGTTCGTTCTTGGCCTTTTTATCAGATGGATGTTAAAAATGCTTTTCTTAATGGCTATCTCACTGAGGAGGTTTACATGCGTCCTCCCCCTAGCCTTCACCATTTCTCTGGACAGGTTTGTCACCTTCAGCATGCTCTGTATGGTCTAAAACAGTCTCCTCGTGCTTGGTATGATCACTTTCACACTGGTGTTACCGAGCTTGGGTTTCATCCTTCTGCTTCCGACTCTGCTTTGTTTCTGAGACATACCTCAGCTTTTGTTGCTCTCCTACTCTATATGGATGATATGATCATCATTGGCTCTGACTCTTCTGCTATTTCTAAGGTCAAATAACATCTCTT